GTTATATAAATTGTCTTTACATTTTATATTTTCAATATTTCAAAATAATGTTTAATTTAAATAATTGCAATTACAGGTTTCCAATAAACAATTATTTTTGTATACTTAAAATACAAATGTTATAGAATGTTTTTATGAAATATATAATTGAACATTTGTTGTTAATTGCCTGCAAAGCGTAATGCGCAATTTTAGCTGCAGCTTTGCGTAAGGGCTGTCTTTTACTTGTTGTTGCTGTTGTTATTAAGGGGATGATTCGCAGCGGCTGGACTTGCATTGAGCGTGGAGCGAGGGTTCAATGCGCGCACTGTCCCAAACTGTGGGAGAGCCAACGACAGCGACATCAGCAGCAACAACAGCAACAACAACGGCAACAGCAACAAAAACTACAGCAAGCAGCAAAGCTTTAACAAAAACCTGTTTGCTCACCCAGCAGCAGAGCATCAGACCAGCAGAGCAGAGCAGAGTGGCAGAGAAGGAGATGGGGAGAGGAAGGGGCGATGCAAGAGGAAGGCTGGCAGCATTGACCTCAACTGAGTCAACGACAAAATATGCCAAGTCGCAGGCAAAAGGCAACAGCAGCAGCAGCAGCAGCAGCAGCAGGCAATCGAAATAATGCAGAACATGGTGCGAAATATTTAATACAGAAATGCCACAGCCAAATGGCTAAAAGGAGCTGTTGCCAGTTATAGCTGCTGCTGCTGCTGTTGTTGTTATTGTTATTGTTATTGTTGTGTTATGTTGTGGTTGCAGTTGCAGTTGCAAGCGAAACCCGTTTCGGAGTCAACACTATCCCAATGCAACAAGCACACATCACTCGCTGAGGGGCCACCTACATTTGGAGGCCTTAGACAACGGCTAAGCCTAAGCAGAGGCTAACACGCTGCTCGCTCAGCTTAATTGGGTCATTCACTTGCTCGACAAAGCACACACACACACACACACACACACAGACACACGCAACATTTGAGCCAAAGCAACTTCCGGTACAAGACGCAGATACGCGAACGCACGAGACGAAGACAACTGACAGACAAACAGAGCGAGAGCAAGAGAGAGGGAGCGAGGGAGAGCGTGCTAGAGTTAAGTAGAAATTTGACTACATGCGCGCGAGTGAGAGGTGAAGCGAGTGAGTGCTCAGCCATGGAAGCGACTCGAAACACGAGCTAAATCTTTAATCCATAAATGTTAGTACAAAGCGACTCAGGCTAATTATGTACTCTGGATGTATCAGGGAATTAATCTTTAACAAGTCTATTATCTAAAGAAGTGAATTCCTCAACTGGAACCACATGATATTTGAACATTTTAGATATTCAAACCAGTTTCAAACTTAACTTGATTTCTATATGATCTACTTTTTAGATAATACCCCAGAATTTAAGATTAATCTTTAAAATAAAATAAATGAAAAGTATTAATGAACTGTGATTTGTATTCTGAGATAAACATATGGCTTTTAAGGTGAGTATTTAAAAAATATATATTTAGTTTTTTTTTATTGGTAATATGAAATTAATATTAGGAATAATATTTATTTATATTTTAAAAATATATGAATACTCCAAGTATATACAAATAATCTGTCTATTACAAGTAATTACAAATAATCTTTATAATTACTTTTAACAATTATTAATGAAAGAAATTCTTGGCATTTATCTACTTGTACTTTTTAAACATTTCTAGATACACAGGAAGTTTAAACATAAATATAATTCGTAAGCTAATAAATTTTATCTTCAACCACTGACGAATTTATTTATTAGGAAAATGTTAACAAAAAAAGGTATTTTAGATAATACTCAGCTGAAATTAGAAGCCACAAAGTAAACAAACAGCTCTTATTATGTTAGCTTTAACTCATATCGTGTTCTACCCCTCTCTCGCTCTCGCTCTCCTTCTCTCCCACTCTCTCACTACTCTCTTCATATTTTCAAGTATGTGTGTATCTCAGTTCCTTAAATGTTTGATTGATTTGATTGACATTCGGATCGAATAGCTGGGTGCTTGGAGGATAAGAGAGTAAGATCACTTTCTACTCTAACCCTCTCTCTGCTCCCTGTGTGAGCAACGAAATAAGGATCAAACAAGGACAGCAACGCACAGCAGCAGCAGCAGCCGAGGCAAACACCGAAAAAGAGGGCTAGAGCGAAGCAGAGTCAACAAGAAAAGGCAAATAAAATGTTAACCTAACCAAAGCCGTAAAAACTCAACCGACAACTTTTCGAGTCAGCAAACGCTGCCAGCGACGCCGCCACCGTCGACGTCGACGCCGACAGCAACAACGGCAGCACATCCATCATTCGTCGTACTGTGCAATGCGAGCTAAACTCCAAAGAAAATCCAGGCAATTGTTTCCAGAGAGCAACAAGAACGGCAGCAACTACAAAGTGCAATCTCAGTTTCGCAAGCGCTCTTTAAATTCGCTATGCTACGAGGGCTGGCACATATATTTCTGATTTGGATTTGTCAATACACAATAAAGCTTTTTTAGTTTAGAACGCTTTCAACATTCTCTTCACTTCCATCAGTTTTACTCCCCCAATTAGCTATTTCGCGTAAATTGAAAATATATTTGACTGCCCTCGCACCAATTAAATAATCGCATTAAGCAACACTGATGCCGATGTGTGTCGCTGTTGCTGCTTTTGCTATTGTCGAAGTTAGAGTAGCAGCACTTAAACTGGTCCGCAGCTTGATCTATTTTTAGTTAAACCGAAAGCTTTTGCAAAGCTCTTGCAAAAGTTCACAAAACTCAGCTGCAATCAATGTGAAGTATTTAATGGCCAAGGTCTTTATTGGCCCACCCACACGCACACACGCATTCACGCATACAAGCAAATCCGTATACACGCACACACTCACTCTACCAAAAAAAATTAGTAAGGAGCAGAAAGCATAGAGAATTACAAATAAGAAGCAGCTTTTGTCACTTACCCAACATTAGCACGGGGCTTGGCGATAATCCAATTTGATTTTTTTCATTAGTTTGTTATTTCAATGAGAGCGACGCGTACATAAACAGCTACAACGATAAATTTATTAGATTGCACACGACAAAAACAACAAGAGCAGCGCGGAAATCAGTTCAAAATTGCGGCAGCTACCGCTCTCTCCCTCTCTCTATGTGTGCATATGTGTGTGTGCAAAAATCAAAACAAAACACGACAAAAACACACACACACACACTCGCATACGCAGAACGAGAGCGCGAGAGCGACGGCTACTCAGAGAGCGCCAGCATAGAAAAAGAACAGCAACAACAACAACAACAACAAATTAAGCTGCGATCGCTGCTGTACAGTGTTGTTGTTTTTGTTTCTGCTGGAGCTGCTGCTGATGCTTATGTTGTTGTGGATTTTTATGGCTGCCTTTTGTTTTGACTGCAACATGTTGAATGTTGCAGCCAAGTCACACAAACACACACTCTTACAATAAAACACACGCGCACTCACAGCGTCCAGCGACAGGCCCTAACGGTAAATGTTAAAACTCTAGCAGCGCATAACTGAAACTCGCAATATACAAACGAATTTATTTAATCAGTAGCATTTGATTTAATTAACGCATTTAATAAATGCAATTCAGACGGAATGTTTTTTTTTTTGTTTGTTTTTTTTTTGCAACGAAAGGACGCCCGCTTAAGAACTCACAAATGCATTGGAAGCCATAGAATTTTAAATATTTTATAAATTTAATTGGTTGCTTACTTTATTAAACACACACATTGAACATTGAACGTACACAGGTTTGTTTGTTTGTTAGATGTTCATTTCGTTAAACGTAAATATCCGCGACAAATGTACGAAACACCAAAAATGGTATAAAAAAACACCGCGTACGTGCTCTGCATACAACAGAAAAAAAAGCGGCACTGACGTTGTGTGACCGTATTCGGTGAAGCGTGAATTACCACAGTGCGACCAGTGCACAGAAGAAACGCCGAATTACGGGACAGTGCTGTAAAGGGCCAACAGAAATATTGTTTCGCTCGCGTTGAGAGCATATTATTTTTCTCTACCTATAATATACGTAAACCACATTAGTTTCTATGAGATTGTTTTATTATTTTCCATAAAATTGGCAATATTATTCTGATGCTCATGTTTATTGGTCTTGGAATTGTTTCGCCGCTGCAAAATACCAAAACATGTAACAGTCTGGCAGCCTTCTTCACACAGCTGTTTCAGTTTGCGAAATTTTCATTTCATATTTGTTTTTGTTTTGCCATTTACGTAGTTTGTTTTGTTTCGGGTTTCTTTAAGTTCGCTTTTTAAATGTAAATATGAACAACGACTGGCCTGCTGATGATGCTGAAATCGATCTGGCATTAAATGATGAGGCCCTGGGCAAGCTACTCGATACACCAACCAAATCAGATCCAAAGGTGATCTCCGAATGCGTTGGCTTCGACGAGAGCGCGGGTAACAGTTGGCTTTACCCGAGCAATTTGCCGCTTCGCTCGTATCAGCACAGCATTGTGCAGGCGGCACTTTATCGCAACACGCTGGTGGTGCTGCCCACTGGACTGGGAAAGACCTTCATTGCAGCAGTTGTGATGTACAATTTGCATCGATGGTATCCCGAGAGCAAATTGATTTTCATGGCACCAACTCGTCCGCTGGTGGCTCAGCAGATCGCCGCATGCCAAAAGATAATGCCCTTTTGCCCGGAGGACACAGTGGAGCTTACTGGACGTCTGCCGCGTGCCAAGCGCGCGGAATTGTGGGCGACCAAGCGCGTCTTCTTTGCCACGCCCCAAGTGGTGCAATCGGATATGCTAGACACGGGCGATGGGCTGCAATTCCCCTACATGTCCATCAAATTGCTCGTTGTGGACGAGGCGCACAGGGCCAAGGGACGATATGCATACACGCAGGTTCAATAATCAAGAAACACATTATAGATAAATATACAATTATAAAATGTAAAATTATTCTACCAGGTAACGGACTCACTAATGGCTCGCAATCCTTACTTCCGCATGCTCGCTCTGTCTGCAACGCCAGGGCGCACCATGGAGGACGTGGCTGCTGTCTGCCGCAATCTGTGCATCTCCCATCTCGAAGTGCGCTGGGATGACTCCATAGACGTGCGACAGTATGTGCACAAGCGTAGCATGCGCACAATTGTGGTGCCCCTCAATGATCGAATCAAGGAGCCGCGTGCACAGCTTTTGCAAATCATTGATCCTTATCTGCGTCAGCTGATTTCAGCAAATGTGCTCAAGGGAGCTCGTGGTAATATTTCGCGCAACAATCTGCTCTTTGACCAGAGCCGCTATCAGGAGCACGTAGCCCGGGGTGAACGTCATCCGGAGCACAGCTTAATTGTCAGCAACTTTGCTGTGTGCATTAGTTTGTATCATGCGCTGGAGCTGCTCGAGCGCCATGGCCTGCGCGTCTTTGTGAACAATTTTGATGCGGATGAGAATGGAAGGGATAAGTTTGTACTAAAGGATCCTGCGCTTAGGGAGCTGGTGGAGAAGGTTCGCCGAGAGCTGGGTGCTAATCCGCTAGAGCACTCGACGCACGCCATGACCAATGGGCAGGTGGCGCCGCTTCCTGCTAGCCTGGACTTTGGCCATCCCAAGTACGAGCAGGCGAGACAAGTGCTCTTAACGCATTTCGAGGTGGTTTCTACTGTCTATTGACGATTGTCCAGTTGATTGACTAACGATGTCTTGTTTCAGTCCCATCCAGATTCGCGTGCTATCGTCTTCTGCGAGTATCGTGAGTCCGTGATGCTGATTCAACGTTTACTGCTGCAGCACAGGCCGGTGCTGCGTCCGCGCTGCTTTGTGGGCCAAAGCTCAGGAACCAATGGAATCTGCGCCTTAACCCAAAAGGAGCAGCTGCAAATTATGTCGGACTTTCGTCAAGGCGTGAGCAACGTGCTGGTGGCCACGTCCATTGGCGAGGAGGGCCTGGATGTGGGTGAGGTGGAGCTGATTGTGTGCTTCGACATCTGCAGCTCGAATCCGACACGATTCGTGCAGCGCATTGGGCGCACTGGCAGGCAGAAGAAAGGCGATGTTGTCATGCTGGTCACGGACGGACGAGAGCAGCAGCTGCTCAAGGAAATGCTGGCCAACAAGGATCAAATGAATCGCAAGCTGCTGCAGTCGACGTTGGTCAAGAGCGCTTTGTACCCACACTCGCCACGCCTTGTGCCGCCTCAATTTCATCCGCGATGCGAACAACGCCTCATGGAATCCATTCAGCCCAAACCGCAGACACCTTCGCCCAAAGCAAAGGGACGCAAGCAGCCCGTACAGCCAACGGTGAAATGCCACGATCTGCGTAGGTATTTCACGCAGACCCAGGACAAATTCCTGCAGGGCGAACCCGCATACAAAGTGAGCGAGGCCTCACAGCGGCTGCTGCAGGAGCAGGCGGCGCGGCAGAGCGTGCCGATCAAGAGCTTTCTGCTGGATACGCAGGAGAACAATGAACCGATTGAGGCAACTCCTCCCTTAGCAGCTAGCAGCAGCAGTCAGGAGCAGGTGCAGCGGCTGCGCAGGATGACGCGACTGCTGCAGGCAGCAAAACCTTTGGTCAGCGACTCGCAACGCAACCAGGATCTGGTGGCACAGTTGCAGGACAAGCAGCTTCCCACTGCGCTCAAGCTCTACCTGATCGAATGCAATGCGCACTTTGTGCGGGATATTCATGCCAAGATGCTGGAGCAACTGCAGCGTGAGCTGCCAGCAGCGCGCCTGAACTCCAGGCAGCAACGAACGCGAAAGATCTACGAGCTGCTACAGTCGGTTTGCGGCGATCACTTGGAGTGGCTGTTAGAACAAGCCGAATCCAGCTGTGCAGAGCTCACGCTGAAAGATTTGCTGCAGCCCCTGGATGAGCAACCCGTCTTTGAAAGAGTCTGCACGGATATATTTGAGGGGCTGCAGGAGACGGGAATTTGTGCGGATAACCATGAGATGCTGCAGCAGGAGTGGGAGCAGCTGGAGCTGCGCCGCCTGGAGCAGACCATGAAAGAGCAGCTGGATAATGAGGCGACAAGTCTGTACGAGGACTGGCAGGACGAGGAGATAGCCGAAGACGATTGCCTGCCAACAACTGAGGTCTCCACCTCAGTATATCAAAGCCAATGGGCAGAGACAGCACGACGCAGCTCCACGCCGTTGCATGTGCGGCGGAGTCCTTCCGCCGTAGACTCCACCCAGCTGAGCACCAACCTGAGCCGACTCAATTGCCTGATGAGCGCGGCAAGCACGCCACTGCAGAAGAATAAACAAAATAAGAGGTCCTTGCTGGACGAGCTGGATAAAGATCTGTCAACCTTCGATCAGCTGGCGGAGCAGCAGGAGGCAGTTGCAGTTGAGGCCACGCCGGAAGCGCTCGACTTGGATCTCAATGATTTCCTAGAGCCGCTGCCCGAAGAGCAGCTGCTGCAGCAGAAGGAGAGTCAGGTGGACGAAGGCGTTGGCTTTAAAGAGAATCAAGCTGAGGCTATCGACGAGCAGAAGCCGAGTCCAGCTAAGAAAATTCAGCCAGAAGTTGTTACCCCGCCGCGCAATCTTTCTCCTGACATCTTCGCAGAGGATTCCTTATCGCCTTGGAAGCCAACAACGACTGCTCCAGCTATGAGCTTAGCCGCCAAATTAGCAGCGAAATCCACAGCTGCGCCTCTGACTGCGCCGGCTAACCGTACGCCGGAACGTGCGCCCGCCCCGCCCTCTGCTCAGCTCAAGTCTCCAAGTATTTTCGAGAACTATCTGCGTCGCATGCGAGGCCGCGGGCATTTGTCCAGAGAGGCGCAGCGCATACACAGCATGACCAGCATGACCAACATGACCAGCATGGCAGCTGCTAAGCCACCTGAGCTAGAAGAGGACTCACCGATTGTGCGACGTCGACCAGGCAAGCGCAAGATCTATGACATATCCGATGAGGACAAGGCGGAGGTAACGCAGATCCTGGAGGAGGACAGCTTTCAGGAGGTGCCTGCTACACAGTTGGTAAGTGCAGCATTCGTTTACCCTATTCTCAGACTCCTTCAGTCATTATATTGCAGCCAGAGCTACGAACGCCTCCGCGTCGTAAACGCGCCAAGTTCAACGAATTCGTTCTGCAGGAGGCAGACCAAAGCGGATCCGATCACGAAGAGGACGAGGAAGCGGAACGCAGCTATGGGGTCTATCTAAAAGACTCTGTCATAGTCTCCAGCGATGATGAGGGGCACAATGACACCACCACGCATGCCATGTACCTGCAGGGCATTAGGTGGGTTTGCCACTCCACTACTCCACTGAACAAGCTTTAACTAAATTCTTCTCATGTCGCCTTCTTTGATAGGAGTCCTGTGCATCGTCCTGGCGCCTTTAAGATACCAGCGCCGCGTCGGTTCGATGATGAGTTCATCTACTCGCAGCCTGTGGAGCTTGAGCCGTCGCAATATTTGCCCAGCTCGTTCGTGGTAAATGATGACAGCGCTGTCAAAGAGGATTCGCACAACGTATCCGAGTGTCCGTTGGAGCGTGCCGAGCGCATACTGAAGGAGCAGCGGCGCCAACGACGGCGCCAACGGGAAGGAGGAGGTGTCCCTGAGCCAACAACTGTAGCTGCGCGAAGCAAGCGACGACGCATCCAAACAATCAGCGATTCCAGTGAAGAGGACGATGTGATCTTTTTGAACTGACTGACCCACTGACTGACCCACTGATCGAGCTGTGCTTAATCTCAGTGCCATGTCCCCTGACTACTCTCATACCCTCTTAAAAATTTAGTTTTCGTTTGTGATTTAATGCATAAGTTGAAGTACTTTATTTTATGTGTTTTATAATACTTTGGTTCGTAGTTTACCGTTATTGTGCCAGTTGCCATTTAGCTTGAAAGAGAGCAAAAATAAGAATTGCATTTCGTTAGTTTTAAGTCTTGTGCAAAAGTACCTCAAATCAAATCTGTTAATGTTCCATGTATAGATATTATGTTTGCTCATATTTGTATATGTAGTATAAAAATAATTATGTTTTATACACATTTTGTAAATACTATGTGTTTTTAATCGGCCCTATCTATTTTTTCTAGTTTCCAGATTTAAAACGGAGTATATCATGGCTATTGGAACCAATTTTCTTTGGAGCTATATATGATTCAAATTTCCAAAATTTATTGAAAAAGCTTTCTACATTCGTTAGATTTAGTAATATCATTTCTGAACTGCCAAATATGGTATTTCCTTATCTGATAAGCCCCTAGAGTAGTCAGGAAACTTTTCTACTTATAAAACTCTGATTTTAAAGTGTAGCTGATAAGCATAGATGATAGACCTATATGAAGACCAATTGTAAACAAAATAACGTTTTATTTTTGCATGATGATATCTACATCCTTAGTTTGATAGTTTTTGCTCGTTTAAAATAAGTGGATAACTATCGAAAGCAATACGATATTTATGTTGTCTTGAATGTTTTGAAAATTCAAAACATCCATCTGAAGACCTGAGTGAGATTCCCCGGTATATGTTCCTCGTATGTCTAGTCCAAATTAGTTCAGCTCACCTGTTTCTAAACCAAGTAGCTTCTGGTGGGCGTCTGGTAGTCGCTGGCTATCGGCTTGAAGGTCGTGTTATGGCGCTGCTTGTACAGATCCCTGGGCTGGACGTACAGTTCCTTAAAGTCCTCGCTGCTCACATGCCGGCTCGATGACTGGCCCAGGCAGGTGCCCGCACCCTGGCCACGGAGCTGCACCTCCGACTCGTAGATGTTGTCAACTAAGGCCTGACGTGATTTGGCCGTGGGGCGTCTTCTGCTCTTCTGGCTGAAGGTCTGTGAGGATAGCGAGCTGTCCAGTCTGGCCTTCCGCGAAGCAATGCCCGTGCAGGTGAGTATGATGCCCAGCAGAACACTGAACTCCACCAAGGCCAGGACCAAGCTGGCAGCTAGAAATATGCCATACTGCTCCCGATACCAGCTGTCCAGATGCACCAGACAGGACTCTGTGTAGCGCTCCCGCTCGTACACAGAGCGCTCCAGTGCCTGACACTGTGTCTCGTTGGCGGGCTTGGGATCGAGGAAGGCCAATGGCTGTGGTGCATTGGCCAAGACACAGCAGCTCAGAGGCACTGGCCAATTGCGTTGGCCATAGCTCTGGAGGCGCCACAGCGAGGTGTCGTAGTCGAGCGAGCTGCGCATGCCGCAGCAGCCGAAGCGGGTCTGGGCCAGGTCCATGGCATTGGTGAACTGCTCCTGGCCGGGCACTCCATAATTGCGTTGCAAGGCCTTTACCATCTGCGCCTCGTCCAGGCTAATGCCCAGGCAGTGCGGCCAGAGCGTGATGGCCAAGCAGATGATCGACTCGGCCAAGAGCAGCACCACCACGCTCAAAAAGTAGACACTGAGGAAGCAATAGGTGTGCAGGCAGCTAGCCCAGAAGCCCAGCACGGAGGCCAGCACGGCCACAAACCCAGCTACGGCCAGGCCCAAGGCGATGTAGTAGAGCAGCGGCTGGGGCAGCGAACTGAGCTGCTCGCTGGGCGCGGCCAGAAGGCGCGAGAGCAGAATGCGCTTGTTGTCCGTGTAGAGATAACAGCCAGCCACAATCAGCAGTGTGCCACAGAGCTAGAGGGAGAGAGAGAGAGAGAGAGTGTGTGTGTGTGAGAAAGAGAGGGAGGCAGCTCATATTGTTATTATTTCGAGTTGTGTGAAAAGCTTGAGGTCTGCGCACACGCAACGGAAGTTGGAGCTCGTTGGCTCCATTACAACCTCCTTCTCCGCCCACAAATTAGTTATTACCTGTTTTCAAATACCCTATAATCAGTACAAATTAGCCGAAAGGCGTATTATTTACGAGGTTAATGCTCGAATTAATATGGAATATAGACTATAAAATAGGAGTAAAACAGAAGCATTTTGAATTCTTTGTTTTTATATGATTATAAGGCTGTTATGTACATATAAGTATGAAAGAGTAGAGTGACTTTGCCATATGAAAAGTTATACTACCCCATCATCAATTAGACATTTTATGAGGTATATTGCTCATAACTTTTATCTTTATGGCAGCAGTGACGCATTTATTTATTATTTGTACTCGCACAATTAGTATTAAAGTAAATATTTTAATGAAAAACATTTCCAAAATATTGAAAAATAGTAAAAGGAAAATAAGGGGTATCTCTCGGAGTAGAAGGCATTTTAAGCTAATTTTCCGGAGCCAAGCTGCGCCTGCGCCATGTCCGCCTCTTTCACAGCCAAAAAGAGTTGGCGAAAAAAACTTTTGAGCTGCTCCTCTTCTCTTCCACCCACACCTCCTCCGCCCACCTGTCCAATTCAAATGGCTTTCAATCAGCCAAGCATAACCAAAATAAAAACGAAGTCGAGCAAATGAAAAATAAACAAATGGAGTAAAATGGAAGAGAGGCGATATGTGTATGCTCTAACAAAATCAAAAGAGTGGTAAGAAGATAGGAGAGAAGTGGACTTCAGATAAGATAAGTGTAAGAACTGATCTTGTGTCAACTATTTGATAGTTTGGGTTACTTGAAAAATCTCTAGGTACTGTAAGGTCGGGAAAACCTATAATAAATAATAATGTTTGCAAGAGACTTCCAATTCAAGGAAATCCTAAAGTTTTCATTGGCTCAAAAGAAAACTCTAGAAGAACTATTGTTATGAAACTATTTTGAATGTTTTTAAAATGAGTTCTATACAGAATACAGAAACATCAGATAAGTTTTTCGGAAGAAGAACTTAATATAACAGTAAGCTTTTAAGTTTACTGAGGAAAAGAGTAATAAGTAAATCTTTATATTTTCTTTAATAATAGATTTTGATAGTAAAATTCGAGTCTTATATAAGTCAATTTTTAGAATATTTTTGAAAAGTTGTATTTTCTCCCTTAGCACATAATCAATATACCCTTAAGTTCACACCCAACTGAACTGCAACAAATAAAGTTTTACAAGTATAGGGCCTAGATTTCACCCAATATATACATTAAATATATATCTATGTACACATATCCGCACAAAACTCACCAAAAACAAAAAATTGCAAAAGTTGAGCACAAATTTGTGATTGAAACAGCGCCCCATCTTTGGAGTCGTGTGGGTGTTGCTTAATTAATTAAGTGAATTTGTACACAATTGAGCGGTCAGCGTTGTGGGGCATGTGGCAAGCTAAGCTGGTTGCACATAGAATGTGTTTATCATTTTATGTCATTGCTGCGTCTGTTTCAGCTTTATAGTTGGAAAAAGCACAAAATGTGTAGATCGAAGTTTTTGAAATTTCAACGTTTTTTCTCTCAAACAAACTAACGACGCGCTTGACAGCTAAACAATGACTGAAGAGCTCAAAACTAGATGCGGCAGCGCAAATGTTGTTGCCCCAACTTGTGGCACGTTGCTCGCGCCTGAATTTCGAGCAGAGCCCAGCCAAGCTCCGACGCTCACGTCTCTGTTTTATGATCGGGGGCTCACGTTCTTTCTCTCCCTCTCTCTTTCTCTCACTCTCTTATGCACTCTCTCAGTGCCTGTCATACTCTCCCGCTCTCGCTCTTTCGGTCTGTCGCGTCTGCAGCTGCAGTCAAATGGAACCGCTTGTAAACAATAGAGCAACAACAACMATTACAGTCATGGGAGATGGTCAGAACTCTGCATGGAGGAAAACTTGTTGGACAGGCTTATCTTTCTATGAGCGAGGGCTGCTAATAGACTCATTTTTTATTACATATATGAAATGTTTATTTGCATAAATAAATAAAAGTTAATTGTTAATATTATATATTTAGTTCAATTTTATATATTTTGTTTTCTTTTCATTTAATTTCATTTCAATGCTCATTGCATAAAATAGTTTTCGATAAAATACCGAGTAAAGAGAGGCGAGAGTGGTTATTGTTGTTGTCAGGTATTGTTAAGTTTGCCTGCGAAACCTTATGTACATATATCATTTCAGCAATAAGGCAAATTACAATTGCAGGAAGAATTCGAAATTTAGAAATACTATTTTATATTTTGTAAGTATACTCAGTCTTTTGAACATTTTTAAATTTTCTATATTTTTTGCATCAATTTTTGAATTGCCAAATTACCGAATTATCTAATAATAATTTAATCACTATCCAGCTTTTTTGGTCGCCTTTCCAGCTAGATTCAGCTTCTTGTGCTTCGCAAAATATGGCAGCACTGCCTGCGACATAGACAATATGCAAACTTTTGTAGCAGCCCTCGCAAATGCTCAGTTCTGAGCGCGTTCTTTGCTTTTTTGGAGACACTTTATTTGTATTTTCTTGCTGACCTGCACTGCGCTTTACGCTCTCCCTCTCTCTCCGTACCCACACACTCTCCGTCCCACTCCCTCTGCAACTTGCACGCTCTTGCACTCTTTCGCACTAGTTTGCTGTCCACTTTACCGTTGTGATCCACATGGCGCTGGCACTTCCGCTGCTGCTGCGCAATACGCATAGCTAAATCATGCAGCCCAGCTCCCTCCCCCTCCCCCTCCCCCGCGCACTCGTGGCCCATTAAATCATTCATTACTTCACTCTATTGGGTTGGGATTGGGGTCAAAGCTGTGCGCGCTATGCGCTGCCGCCTCGACTGTGTGTGGGTGCAAGCACTTGCCAAGGGTTGGCTGGGCAATTAGAAAGCCCCGCAGCAGCGGCAAAGATGCAAAGTGTGGCTGCCCCACAATGCAATGGGCGCACAGATCTAATCCAAATTGGTAGCTGGGGTTAAGAGGTGAAGCGTTCATTGAACTTGAGCAGCGCCCAAGATATGTGGGCGAAAAG